ATATATATGTTTTTTTTGTTGTTGCAGTCTCAAGCCCTTTGTCAATTCCAAAACATTCGTGGCAGACCATGGCATCTCACCAAAGGTCGTCACGGTATCCTAAGCTGCTGCCAACGGTCGTGGGTTTGTCTCAAAATAGGTTTGCCGGTTTGCCCCAAATCCCCCTAGTGAAGCATGCTTTGCCATTAAAATGGCAATTGAAGGGGGTATATAGCCCATTTTCAGACACACAGGACACACATGTCAAGCTCTGTTCAGGCTCTCCTCCCTCCATGGCTTCAATTACTGGGAACTGGACTTCGCGGCGCCCAGGGCGATTGCCAAACCTGACCAAGTTTGGCACTGCAGCTCGGCAAATGATTGTGTTGCTGTCTTTTGTTTTGTTCTCAGTGTGTTCTCAGTGTCTTTTCACTTCTCAAAGGCTCTTCAATCATATTAAATGATGCTATCATCTTCAAGCTGCCGTCTGAAAAACCACCCCTGGTCTGCTTTTATATTTGCATCTGCTTTATCCTGGATGGTCATAGATCATGAGATACACGTCAATCAAGTCCGCAGCGACTCCGAGGCGCTCTGGCCATGATCTGCTGCTGCTGCATCTGCCGTTGCAGCAATTCCAGCTGCAACTGCTGCTGGTGCAGCTGCAGGTTCATCTGCATCAGCTGCTGCTGCACCTCGGTCTCAGGTGCCGGTCTCAGGTGCCGGTCCTAGTCTTTTACGCGCTAGGCTTCAATACCATGAACACCATGAATCACAAAGTTTCCTCCAAAATCCTCCAAATATATCATTTGAGTTTATTTGAGGCTCATTGAAGAGCACTAGACCGAGAATACTGCCGCCTGCAGCCTGAGGAATTCATCAATTTTCTCAACATAGACATCTGTGTGGATGCCAAATGGAGGCACAGCAAAAGCAAAATGCAGCTGGACTCAAGGCAACTGGATACGCAGAGTGTTAAACAAATCACAACCATGGGGTTCCACAGTACCTAAGTGGTCATCCATAGTATAATAATTTCTTGATGTAATTTCTTGATGTATAGTATAGATGCACAATCCTTCCTCCCTTGTCACCCTTCCAAGCATGCCACGGCAAAATCATGGTTTGGCCCACCCTGGTTCCTCACAGCTGCAAGAATGAAAATAAACACAATCCAGGGTCATCAATAGCTGAAATTGTGCTGCAGAAGGTTTTGTTACCTCAAGAGAACTGCTGATCACATTGGCTGAAAGAATGATACAAGACATGGCAAAACTAAGCAGGTAGACCCCTCTCTCTGGCAAGCTACTCTACCATGCGAACGGCTGGAGCAGGCAACTGCCAAGGGCGCTGAACGCGCTCCTGTCACTGGGGAAATGGTGGCACTAAGCAGGTCCCAAGGACTGACCAGTGAGGAAAACAAGAGGAACTCACATGTTTGCAGTTGGCTCCAGGAAGACCAAGGAAAATCCAGACTTTCCATGACTTTCCATGACTTTCCATGACTTTCCCACATGTTCTCTCAATGGTCCGGTGACGCCTCCTGCTGTGGCCTTGGCCGCAGTTCCCGCTGCTCGCCCTGAGGCCGCACTTGTCGCGGCTCCGGAGATTTGTTGGGTGCCCTGGCTGCGGTACCCAGGCACAAAATGGCGTGGAGTCTTGGAACTTCCTCAGATTTCTGAGTGTTTCTCCCTTGAACGTTTTAGCAAAGCAATCCACGTTTACAAGCAACAACGCTTGCGTGGACAACAATGTCAACACATCTCTTGTTTTTTTCCATACGAATTCATGCACGACTTGTAATGTTTCACGCAGTTCTCCACCCGGCGCACCTATTGACTTCAGGCAGGAAGCTACCATAGGCCTGCGCAGAGGTGACCCATTCACTACCTGGCGCAAGTCACTTGGTGACTTCGACATAGTCTGGCTTCCACATTGACACAACAAAACCAAAATGAAACGCAGGTTGATGAGATATCCCACTGCTAAAAAAACTCCAACTCGCACAGGTCCAACTGAGACACACTATCCATCATGTTGCTGGTTGGCACTGGTATGTTTCAGTCTGGATGTAGATCTCATGCCTTACAGGGTGTATTCTGCCTCATGAAAGCAGAAATGCATTTCTGTTTTGCCAGGGCACTCTCAGAATGGCCGCGCCGCACCATGACATGGAGCACGATGCAGAACAAGTCTAAAGGAATCCAACTGAATCGTACTTCAAGGGTGGATCGTCACTTGTATTTCCTCTGGCCGTCGCGGTCAGTGTCAACCTGTATATGTTGGTCCGGTATGTGCCCCAGGTACTTCCATCATCCCATCTTTGTTTCCCTCTGTATCTTAAGATTTTCGGTTGCAGGGAGAAGCAAACATGGAAGAAAGCATCTTTCTCCAGATTAAGTTTTCTGAGCTCTGGTCTATTGTTTTGTGGCAATACAAGTTAATCACATTTCCCATCCATGCCTCCTGATTAAATTAGAAAAGCTGCGGTTCGGGCAACCTGTTTTAGTGGGGGCAGTTGCACACGAAATTCAACTCCCAATTTGCAAAGAAGATATGTAGACATTCGAGCTCCATCAGTGAAGGGCAGTCGGGGATTAAGTGTACAGAGGTTACAGTGTTTGGACTCTGTTGTACAGCAGAAGGAGCTTCAAATCAACGAAAAAAATGGAACCACTTTGAGGTACCCAACCATTGCTGCTGGTCGGGGAAGGCCGCACATGCAAGTTCTGGTGGTGCCTCAGGTACACAAACACATACAACAAGCATCAACAAGTATCAACAAGCAATCTGCAAACACCTCATCAGTGTTTTAACCCATCTGCCTGAACTCTCGAGTCCTTTCATCTAAGCAAAAAAATCTTCAGAGCCAACAGATTCAGCAGGAAATGGCTGGGTAGCAGCTTCCCAACATCATGGCGTTCTGCTCCAAGGCTCCAACCCATGCGGCACGATGATTCGATCACCAGCGGCCTGGCAATGTCCGGTGTGTTTGTGGCGGTTTGCAACGGCTGCAACTTTCACATCACCAGTCACCAGTCACCAGTCACCAGTCACCAGTCACCAGTCATCACCAGCCTCATAAATCTGCGGTGCTGCAATGGGGAAGTGCGGGTTAGCCTGATCGTTTTCGATGGAATGGTTCATTTCACTTTACCGTCGGGAGTCGTCAGGCAGAGTTCAAATCTTTACTGCAAGGACAATTGAAATCTGCCTCCAGCGCCCGGAACAGCTCACATGCAAAATCTCGTTCCATTGGGTAAGCCTGGCCACGGCAACTCTCTGTGGTTCATGTTGAAACGCTGTACTGTCCTGCGACACAATGGACCAGAAGACTCCACCTTTCAGTCTAAAGAACTCAGGCCAGGTTTACGTCATTGTGCATGAGCACCTCTCAGAAACAAATCTGCTGGTGCTCTGGCTACTAGAAATTTGTGGACTTTAGTATAGTAAGAGTCAGAGTAAGACCAATGGCACTGAGAAAAATCCTGGATAGTGCTGAACATCCTTCCAGTTGCTCATCTGCTTGTCAGGTCTGGAGGTTCGTGCTGCCATCCTGGGCTCTTCACCGCATACTTGGTCTTCAGCAGGGGCTGAATCTGTTGCGCATGCAACAGGCATGGACAGGTCATGTCACTCAAATCATGATCTGACCTTTGGACTCAAAGAAATCCAAATGTTGACAATGTTGGAACATGTTGGAACCCCAAGCCATGTGTATGTATATATATGCAACCCCCCGACCTATATATCATTTAGCAATCCAGGAACCACAAGTGCCATTCTGAAGCCTTCAGAAAGCCGGCAATGGGGGCATCAGCGTTTCCCACCGCCACCTCGCAGTCGCCAAATCACAACCATTCGGACCCACCCTACAGCCCCTCCAGCCCCAGCTGATCAGTGCCATATGCAGATCTCTGCTTGGCCTCTGTGTAGTTGCTAAAGAGACGTGCGCCAATGGCTCCAGTCTCAATGTTGCGGCCTCAAAAATGCTGAAGGACTGCACATTCGCATTGCATATTGGCCAATATTGGCATATTGTTAATGCACGGAAGATCTTCGGAGATCTCCATTCGGAGGAGTGCACCCTTCAAGATTTGGTGAAGATCGTTGGTTCATCAGTTTTGTCGTGACACTCAGCCCTGGACAGCCGCGAATGTTGGGATAAGCATAGTAGACGTTCATATCTCAGCAGGGAAAGCCGATCAAGTTCGACGGCAGGGGCGAGCACAACTTAAAAACGCCGAACGTACTTTACTATGGACTCCGAAGTACCAGTACGTCAAGCATTGCCGACAGAAAACTACCAAAATTGGCTCATTCGGTTGAGGAATGCGATAACCACAGCACACACACCCACATAAGCATGATATTAACCATTAGTAACAATGATAGTAACCACTAAAAAACAACGATAACAACAAACATGTCGCCAATAAGAAGACTAAAAAACAAACAATAAATATCAAGTATACAGTATACGATGGATAAAACCTAATACACAAGATCATTATACATACATACCATGATATGACACATACAATACAAAACATACGATGTAATCAAACATAGAGTATACAAGGAACATCACACATGAATATATTGTATCATGACGTATGACACACACATATATATATATACAGATATATGATATATGTATATATAGGCTCGTCCCTGCTCCTGGAACCACATACGATGGGGTGGGGGGGGGGGGGGGATGTTAACGTTCATGTGAATTAACGTGGGATGTTAACGTGGATGTTAACGTTCATGTGAATTAACGTTCATGTGAACTTGCAGAAGCAGTTGATGCTACGCACACGCGGGGTGGGGGGTGGGGTGGGGTGGGATGTTAACGTTCATGTGAACTTGCAGAAGTAGTTGATGATGATGATGATGTGATGATGATGATGATGATGATGATGATGATGACGACCCTAATGAAACTTGTCAATTCCGCGACTAAATTTCGTCACGGAATGGACAAGTTTTACCAACCTAATTCAGGTTTGCGCGGTTCCAAGAGCAGGGACGAGGCTATATATACACATCCACAATATATCTACAATATCCGACAAAGAACACATGGCGTGCATAAACACTAATTAGTCCACTACTCACAAAGCATTTCTCATGCCGGAAACCAAGCACAACTTTCAAATTGGGCCACTTTCAGGAAAAAAATGCTATATACTATATATATATACCCTTTCCACAAGGAAAGTAGGAAAGCTGGCGATCCCAAAAAACAGAGCCCATCTTTCGCTCACAGCAGTGAGTCTTGAAAATGCTAGCAAGTCAGGACGGTTAAGCAACAGAATTGTGTTTCGCAACCTCGAAACTCCCCTGCTCACCCATTGGGACCAAACCCTTTGGAAACATTGTGGCAAGGTGGCCCATGAGTTCTTCGAACTGGCCGCAAGTATCCTGCAGCAAATCTACTCAGTGCCACACGATGAACGCATCTGGCTGATCGTAAAACTAGGTTAGAATTCACTCATCATGTACTGAGCTGGTAGGAACTCCACCATCATCAGTAGCGTTCACACATTCTGCAAGCAAATCAATGAGCAACTTGGCCACCGGTCTTTCACAGTCACAACGAGGCTGACCTGCCGAAGTTCTTGCACTTTTTCATAAGAGCATGGCAACGTATAATATACATACATAATCACATAGCGGTAGTTATCAATCTTGAAGATATCACTCTCTCTCTCTCTCAGGACAATGTCGTGCATAATCCTGGCAACGTATGGAGTCTGCAAAGTATTTTAAAGAAACCAAACAAACTAACATGTTGTTTCCAGATTGGGAGAAATCAACCGCTAGGGTGAACTTGGGGCGAGTTAAATTGAGTGTTCCAAACAAACATAATTGTAAGATAAACATAGATAAACCATAAACATCCATAAACCATGGACGTTTCCGAGAACTCCTCATAAAACGGTGGGTGATGCATCAACTTGCCAGGATCACATGTGCCGTAAGATCAGCATCCGAACCTGAGCACAGCACAGGGAATCACTGAAAGATAGTGAAAGGTGGTCCCATCAAGTGACTAGTTGGGTCTGGTTCAAAACTTTGGAGCCCTTTGGAGAGGAATCCATACCATCCATGACATTCCTTCCAGATCCTTCCAGAATCAACCATCAAATGGTGTATTATCGGTGTCAGTGGTGCTCAATGTCCACGTGCTGAGGTCTCAGACAGCTGGCATACGTCGGCGCCACAGGGTCAGGGATGCCAGGTAACGCTACATTGCGAAAGAGCCGGCGCACACACCTCATTGTCCAACCCACCAGACGCATCGATCAAAATGATCAAAATCCACCATTGAATCCATATGAATCATGGTTAATTCATATTGATAGTAATCATGCAGTTCACTTGCCAGGAGCTTCACAAACTCATCAAGCGTTTCTTTTCTTACCTGCCTTCCCGGATTTCAAACCCTGCTCCCAGGCAGCCAAACGGTGAGTAAAGCGAACGGCCGAGCGTCAGGACCTCAAATGCAAGCTGCAACTGAAACATCTGTGCGACTTCTGACCCAACTCAACTTGTTGATGTGAGCGGGGTGCCATCAATTGTGCGATTAATGGCATGTAAGCCTGAAACAAACCTTTCTGTGGTCGTTTCATGATATCATCCCTCAACACAAACGGGATTTGTCCTGCAATGCCACCTGTCACCTCAATCAACAATCAACATGACTTAACATGACTACCTTCTGATTGATACATATTCAACAAATGCCACGTGTCAAATTCCCTCGTACGTGTGTAACATGTTTTGCAGTTGGGCAGTGTTAGAGTCTACATTACTTTGTCATTGGTTTTGCAACATTGCAATGGCAGAGTGACAAAATACTTTTTCAAAGTCTTTGCTGGCAAAGAGGCTGCGAGGATCAAACCGGCCAGTGCCAGGGAATGCCTTGGGGAATTTCGGGACAAACTAGGTCCACGCCTGATCCGCTATGGTTGAAACAAATACAAGATAAAAAAATCAACGGATTTTTTTTCATGATGATTTTGTTAGGACGAAATCTTGTTGGCACCAAACATTCGACACGCAGTATCAAATTCATTCCGAAAAACATGGAAAAGTGGCGCAACACAATTGAGTTCCATACGGGCGGCCAGTGGCCTCCGCTTTCCTGAAAGACTGTTGTTCAAATGGATAAACAATCTCTCAACAGATTGAAACGATGGCCGAGGAATGGATCCAAAAACAAATTGTGTGAATATTCTGAATATTGTTTTTTTTGGTTTTGATACTTGAAGTGAAAAACATGCGTGCCAAAATATTTGGCCTGACAAATCCGCACGTGTTTCCCTGCTGGCCACGCATCGGTCACATATTAGAAAACATCTACCGTTTGACCAGCAAACAACTGGATCCTTTTGTACGAAACAGTCATAATGCACTATCCATCCATATCCAAAATCTCAACAAATGCCTGCGCATGCTGCCAATGCTTCTAGAAAGCACCTGAAGGGCCAGTCAGGGCACCGCATCTGCAATGCAGTTCCAATGATTGACATATACCAACAACATGCTGGTTTCGTTGCATCATATCACAATGGATCTGTGTGCAAAATGACTGGTCTTGAGATCCGAAGTCTGCGTCTGCCTCACTTGTGATTGTGATGTTTATGGGTCATATTGCCATTTTTCAGGTCCGTCATGACAGCGTCCCTGGCCAAGCATCTCGCCTCCATGAAATGAGTAGAAACCTCATTGTTGTGCCCGGGCCCAAACATTTTTGCTTACACTGGTTTGAAAGCACGCATCGATGTGTGGACATGTCGAATCATTTTTGAAGCCACCAAATCATTTCATTGCATTGTTCCCCTAATGAACACAACACCAGCAATCACGAATCAGACTTTTGCGCGATGCCACACCTTGGAGTTTTGAGGTTCCAACACAATGCCAAGAAGGCACTGCAGCCCAAAGATGCAATGGACTGCACTATAATTTACAGAGAACAAAATGCGGCGCGAAAACTGAAATTTAATCGTTCCAAAATGAACAAGTGGGTTGTTCCTGGAAACAAACCCCAACAGTCAGTTTGCATAACATCCTTTTTGAAACCACCCAAAAGAATATTTGTCATGCTCATTCGAAGGTCAGAACAGTGCGCGGCCAACATCTAGCTCTCAGACCGCAACCCACCAAAAATGTTTCATCGACTGGTCCAAGAGTCACAAGCATGGTTTGTTTTCCATGGTCTTCAAAAATTTGATATCCATTGATATCCATGGGTCCATAAACAAGCGTTCAAACACCCATTGTGAGCATGTCTAATGTTTGTGGGACGACAATGCCCCAAAAACTATGTTTTGGCCATGGCACACATGGCAATGGCAACTTAAAAAAGGGTTTGCAAGATTTTTTTGTTTCGACTTCCATATATTACATAACATATCAGCATATGAAACCAAGTGGTACCGCAATGCTCAAGCGCTGTTTTATGCGTGGTGCATTTGATCTGATTCGTGGCTGTACAACTTACACCGAAGAACCTGCGGGTCCTAGTTACGTACAAACAAAGTACGATCAAAACAGGTACCCTTTTACAACTAAGACATACAAACCCAGAAGGCGGGGGTTGCAAACTGGTTGATAGAAAGAGGTGGGGGGTTCAACAACACCACCTCCAGAGCCACAGAACGGTGGATGCAAAGAGACAGCTGGAGCACACTCACCATGTCCTGCGGGGGTGAGTTTCATGAAAAACTGTCAAGGCTTTCAAAGTTGTTTCTCACACTCATTGACAAAACCTAAACAGATCGCCCCTCTGCCCGTTGAATCCTTTTGAACATGCGTGGTAATGTCACATTGCTGCACGACAATGTGCTGCCGTTGGAGGCCAACTTGACGACAGGCACTGCAAGAATATGCGCGGGCACCTGGGTTGCGCACGTTCCATGCATAGGGAACCCAAAGCGGGAAGCCCCGCTGGCTCTCAATGTATGAAACCGCCTCCACCACAGCTTTTTGCAGTGGCGGGCCCTGCAACGTCAGTCGAGGAGAGGGTTGTGGTTGGTGTCCTCGACGTAGCAGGCCTGGGCCAGGAGCTGCGGCAGCTTGCGGAAAGTCGCCGCCGCCAAAGATCGCAACTGGCCGCCGCAGCGGTGGCGGGGCAGTTTTGCCGGACAAACGTCGCCGCATCTTTAGTGGTGGCGCCGGTGGCGCAGACTCCTGGTCAGTGAGAACCACTTTGCGGGTCACATGTGATATATTGCCTGACATGACAGAAGGATTTGTAGACTGTTTTACGCAATCCCACGAATTCAGCAACAAGTCATGGGACCCAAACAGTTTCCGTGACATCAAAGTAAGATCCCAATGTCAAGTCATCCATCCAGCGAATGTAGACGAAGATCATAGAAGGTGGGCAGGTGGGCCCCCCTAGCCGCCTTTGTAGGTTTATAATCTTCATTAAACATAGTTACATCGACTATATACGTCCATCCGAACGCGTAAACGGCAATATAACCATAATCATACACGATCTGCACATGTACATCCACATTCTGATACAAAGCTACCACATGGAACGCTTTCAATTTGTAGAAAAAAACTGAAGGACAGTATCAGTTCAATACTTGGGTGCATCCTTTGAACAATGTCTTCAGGCAGCCAAGCAACAAGCTCCGGGGGCGGCTCTCTCACGTACAGTTCGCCCACTGGCAGCCGCGGGCACACCACCGCCAGAGGCCGCGACCACCGGTTGCTATACCGACCGTCTGCTCCCCAGCGTGCAACGTGGCACTCCCAACACAAACACCAGAATCGCGTGGGCCCTTTTTGAAACCACTTGATGTTGCGCCACTCCTTAACCGCAGCAGAAGAGCCGACGACAAATGGAATAGAGCCGTAAAAAGGTAACAACTTTTCTCAGACCCCTATTTCAATCAAGCAACTTCCCAGTTTCGAGCTAAGTCCTGACTGCGCAGCGACGTCAACGCCCGACCATGGGGGCAATTGGGGCACGTCGGCCCACCACTCCCCACCAGGTTTCTGTGCTTAACTTGCTGTAAAGCCAAAAGCTGCAGGCACCCGATTGATTTTTATGATGAAACCTCAAAACCGACTTGAAATGGAACAGCATGCGCCCCAACAAAACCCAGGTACGTCAGAATGCCTTGACCGTCAGGACTGCAAGGCAATGTAGGCAACATTTCTAAATTCTGCGTGTCCGCGTCAGTGCTGCTGAGAAAGAGCGTGGGGTGTCTAAAGGTGGATAAGTCTTCCACACTCGTTCCGGCTCATGGCCAACAAAAAAACACACCAAGGCTTTTCAAACACCTTTTCCTTGAGGCTAAGATACCTACATGCGTTTGTCTTGTTTCTGGGCTGTCTGAGCCATTGACACGATTGCCGCTCTGTCTGCGGCCGCAGGCGTGCAGGTGGTCCTGGAACTGCTCCCTCACCAGCATGCGGCAACGCCTGATAGAGTCAAAACTTTCTTGACGAGGAAAACCAACGGTGTGCCATGGGCATTTGTACCGAGCCCTGCAGCACCAAGGCCAGCACGGACAACGAGGGTGACCGCACGTGTATAAAGGTGAAGGTATTCACCAGTGTTTCGACCTTGCAGACAGTCCTTCACGGAGGCGGTCTTCAGCATCACGGAGAAATCGAGCCAAGCAGCCTTGTGTTTCAGAAGCACAAAGACATTCTCCTATACTAATACCAAAGTCTGTAACATACTGCACCTGCCACTTTCGCAATGCGTCACGTAAACATCGTCGTACCGCCAAAACGTATCTATCAAACAACGTAAAACATCGATCAAACATAAACTCAAACCAAACCACAAACCCAAAAACAAGACATCACAAGAATCAAAGTGCAGCAAGTGGACATGAACACTGACATGCTGATTCCACGGTTCGATCAGAGCACTCTTTTCCTGCGATTGTTTCGCAATTGGTCAGGGGACAAGATTCGGTTTCTTGCAGTGACCAAAGGGGATTTTGACATCAGTTGAAGCAAAGTCCATTCTGGCAGCATTTCATCGTTTTAACATGCGATATTGTTTTGGGAAATGTTTTCCAGCTGGACTGTTTTCTCCAACCCCCCCCCCCTTGCCATGGGTATTTTTGGGTGGGAAAATGTTTTGGGTGGGACAGAAAAATGTCCATGGCAAAGTTTCAGACTAACCCGCCCACCACACCCTTAAGCAAGGATGGCCACAAGAAGATAAAATTCAACATGTACAATCAGTAACAACTTCGTTGTACAAGAGAAACTGAAATTACATTGTCTCACAGATTTGGTTGTTTAGGTTTGGGTCGGTTTGCAAACGATGTTTTGGTTTGTACGTTGTTCAGCAGCGTTGTTTGACGGATGTATGTTTGACGCTTACACGAACGAGTGGAGTTATACAGGCGCAGCGATAAGTTACAGACCGGTCTAGTAACACTAGACCTGTTTGGTAAGCTAGAGAGAAAGTATTGTCAGCAAGCTGAAATATCCTTCTCCTATACTAATACCAAAGTCTGTAACATACTGCACCTGCCACTTTCGCAATGCGTCACGTAAACATCGTCGTACCGCCAAAACGTATCTATCAAACAACGTAAAACATCGATCAAACATAAACTCAAACCAAACCACAAACCAAAAACAAGACATCACAAGAATCAAAGTGCAGCAAGTGGACATGAACACTGACATGCTGATTCCACGGTTCGATCAGAGCACTCTTTTCCTGCGATTGTTTCGCAATTGGTCAGGGGACAAGATTCGGTTTCTTGCAGTGACCAAAGGGGATTTTGACATCAGTTGAAGCAAAGTCCATTCTGGCAGCATTTCATCGTTTTAACATGCGATATTGTTTTGGGAAATGTTTTCCAGCTGGACTGTTTTCTCCAACCCCTTTCAATCACAGGACAGCTATGCTAAGCCCTCAAGAAGTTCAGAGGGGTGTTCAAAGTCGGTGATGGTACTAAGGCCTAACAGCTCTAATGCTTCGCCACAGTCATCCCTAGACGGGCCATCGGCCACATTTGAAAGGCTTGGGACCCGCTCCACCCAGCTGTACGCAGGAGCCTGAGCATCTACTGCGTAGAACTCCCTGATTAGGGTTTTCATGCTCAGGCTGGGTGATAGTCCCTTTATTATGCAAAACCTTGCAGCGTCATTGTCTACCCACCAGATGGTCCTTCTGTTGCGGAACCACTCTTTGTAAAGCCAACGCACCAAAACCATCACATAAAGCTCAATCTGGCAGATGATGTGCTCACCCACCATGTTCTTCCAGCGGTCAAGAAGAATTCCTGGGACTACACCCCTGCAAACCAATTTCTTTCCAGAAGACAAGTCAATGATGACAGCTCCAATGCCTGCGTAGCCCTTCTCCCAGCATCCGTCTGTAAAAATCAGGATTGGGTCACGGTCAGCAGAGACATCAATGCGCCGCGGAGTTGCAGCCTTCAACATTGAAATTGCGTAATCGCAAAAGGAGGCCACTTCAGATCGACCTTTCCGCGCCACACTGTTGCTGAGCGCCAAGACTTCCACACAAACCTGGTGCAAAAACTTTCCACTGAAAAATCCACAAGCATACCTCATGAGGCCATGGATCACCTGTCCCTGGTGCTTTGTTAAACACCCGTCATCACGGATTCCCTGCAGCAGTTCTATCAAGCGGTCAAGGCGACCTGGTTTGTTCTCAAGGGTGATGCCACCAAGACGGACCTCTGACAAGTTCAGGGAGCACCCCAAAACCTGGAAGGCCTGTTTGAACGGGAAGGCCTTGGACCCCGTTTTAGCATGTCTCCACCCTAATAGGTCTAGGAGTTGGGAAGCCGCTGCATCTGCATTCTCCGCCTGCGATTCCGGGGAGAACATTGGAAAATCATCGTAGAAAACTCCGCAAGGAATCACCAGCATCTTGTTGAGAAGAAACCAAAGGCTCCTGGATACCCTGTTGAAACTGTAAACCGCAGCACTTGCCCC